CTATATATCTATACCTTTCATCCGCCTCTTTTTGGAAGTTTTCTAAAGTTGTTTTGGAATTTGGTCTTCAGAGGTGCCAGACAGATCATTCAGTATTTCATCTATAACTGACACAGGTTATGTTATCCTAGTAGTTTATGTGGATGATATTGTAATCACTGGTGATGATGCAGATGGGATTGCTCAATTAAAACAGTTTCTGCAGAAAAGGTTTCAGACCAAAAATCTAGGTAAACTCCGATATTTCTTGGGTCTTGAAGTCGCTACGTCACAAGCAGATATTAATTTATCTCAAAGAAAGTATGTGCTTGATCTATTAGATGAGACAGGTTTCCTTGGAACCCATCCAGTTGATACTCCCATGGATCCCAATGTGAAGCTTTTGAAGAATGGAGGAGTATTATTTGGAAAACTAGGAAAATATCGTCGTTTAGTTGGAAAATTGAATTATCTTACTATCACAAGACCAGATATTTCCAATGCAGTTAGCATCATTAGTCAGTTCTTGGATGCTCCTCGGGTTCCTCATTGGGAAACTGTGATATGTATTATTTGGTATTTGAAAAAGGCTCCAGGTCTTGGGTTATTGTATAAACCAAATGGACACATCAGAATAGAAGGGTTTGTAGACGCAGATTGGGCAGAATCCCGGATAGACAGACGATCCACTACAGGTTTCTGTACATTCCTTGGTGGTAATCTTGTTTCTTGAAAAAGTAAGAAACAAAATGTAGTAGCAAGATCAAGTGCAAACGCAGAATATAGGGCGATGACTCATACTTCTAGTGAGCTGACGTGGTTACAGCACTTTCTTCAAGAAATCAATCTCTCACCTTCCACTCATATTCCAATGTTTTGTGACAATCAAGCTGCTCTACATATTGCATCAAATCCAGTCTTTTATGAGAGGACCAAACATATTGAAGTTGATTGTCATTTTGTTCGGAACAAAATAGTAAGTGGTGATATATGTACACCATATGTGAAAGACAAGAGACCAACTCGCTGATATATTTACAAAATCATTGAATGGTAATCGATTGAAGTATGTTTATTCCAAGCTGGGCTTATATGACGTATATGCTCCAGCTTGAGGGAGAGTGTTAAGGAAGTAAATCACGTTAATTTGATAATAGTATAACTAGGATTTATTGTGTTTCCATTCTTATGCCAAGTTACCAAATATGTACTCTTGTTATTGTTCTATATAATTGAAATTAGAGGGGAGGGAGAAATTGAACTTCTTCTCTCCATTATTCTTTTCCAAGTCATGACAGAAATAAACCACTAATTCTATCAAAAACGACAACCTTTTGTTGCATCTCTTACAACACTAAAAAACGGAGGTGCAGGAAAAATTCCAAGAGAGGATGTCATATATAGCCAACAGACAGTAAAAGGTACAAGAAATATATCAACAAAAAATAGAAGAAACATGGCATCAGAATTCCAGATATGAATGTTCTGCATATATTCAAATTAGTCTGGAAATTCCCTGGTGGGAAATGCTAGAATTGCAAACAATGAAGGATTAGCTTAAAAATACCTTTCACTCACTGACTGATCTGAAGAATCTGGACT